CCAAGACAAATTACATGCAGCTGCGGCTATTAAGAGTCCCGAGGATGTCATTCGGTTCTTACCCAACAAAAGGAAATTACGTGCACGAAACCGACACGTCGCGACGTGTCGCTCTGTATTTTTCCACGTATTACAAAACGTAATCGCATCTCGTACCTACACTCGTCAAATAATTTTTAATATTATTATTAAAATCATTCTTGACCCAAAATCACCTATTAATTCGTTTACGAAGTTGTCATTCTGTTTTGTGTGCGAGGAATGCTGCAATACATTATCCACGTGAGAAAATGGCATGCGTTAATTAATTTACCTACATTAAAGTAAACTAAAAGAAATAACGAAAACTAAAGTGATACATGAATGCAGGATACGGAGGAATGCAGGACAAATTATACGGAAGCGAAGTAGTTCTTTACTTTGCACAGAAACTTTTAGTGTCAGCCAAAAGAATTGTATCCACGCGAAGAATATAAAAACCAAGTTTATGTAATTTAGAAAAAAAATGTGAAGATAAAATGTATGAATGATATTTATGAAATTCCATAAGATGCATATTATGAAATAATGGAAGAATAAATTAACGCTAAATTTATCGCAATATATCTACTAATTGAAAATCCTATAAATAATGATTATTTAATATCGTTAGGGAAGATATGAAAGTAAGTTACTTTATAGATAATATTGAAACGAAACGTGGTTTGGTCATACTTTGTTCCAGAACACAGCATGAAGCTTAACAAAATTATCAACAACTCATTTCTAACAAAATTACTAGTATCGTAACGGTACCGAAACAACTAGCATTTTTGGATTCTACTCGCCGAAATCTACAGGATTATGTAAAAAAAGAAAAAAAACATAACAATTTTTGGTCCCCCAAAGTTCAGCCAAATCTAAATCGATCCGAATAAGCCATCAGAGAACAATTTGAAAGTTAGCTTACTATATCTCTTTACATGACGAACTATAATTATTGTGTTCATAATCAACCTTCAATTTGCAAGGTTTGAGAACTCTGTTCTCGCTTATCGACACAACCATTAATTTTCTATAGTTCTTGAAGACATGAAGGAATGCACATAATTTCACGTATTTTCTTTGAACACTGCAAATCCCATCTAACCTTCAAGCACGCACAAACCGCGCGTAAATCCCACCTTGATGATTTTTTCTTTTCTAGAAACAATGGTCACGAGACGATTCGCGAGTTTCCTGGTTTCAATTAAGCTTTCGCTTTCCAAGTAACTCTCGTGCCAATTATACTTGTGTATTGCCTCCCGTCCGTGTAAAATATACCTATACATAATTCGTTACTCCAAATTATTGTACTTGAACGTTTCTCTTCGATATTTGTTTATTATCAAACAACCGAAGTAGTAGAACAATTGACTTCGAAAACGTGTAGTAAACAAATATTTTTAAACAATAAATATCACGTAGTGTACCAATAAATGGACACGTAGATTGCATATTTGTGTATAAATGATTTGATTTCATCAAGTATTTAACAATAAAAAGAATCGCATTAATAAAAATGCTATACAATATGTTTTTAGTAACGGTTAAATATTTATCATTATTATAGCAATCGAAGAATTACAAATAGCACGTAAGAATTCTTATATAATCAAATTTATTTAATGACACCATTCTAAAATACTAAATATACGTTTCATATTTCACCAAATATCGATCTACTAATTAACTGATGCGCGCTGATTAACTTGGCGTTAAAGTCTCCGGGGAAAATCGTTAAAACTACAGTTTAATTGTCAGAATGTTAACAGCGCTTTTTTTTGTATATCAGAGATAAGATTTTTCTGCAGAGGAAACCTGTTAGCGAACGCCTATAATTTTACGATAGAATGCTGTTATTTTTAAAAGGTAATTTTCTTCTCGAGGAGGGATAACGTCGTAACTCGACATGAAAACCAGAAGAACCAGGCGAACGCCAGTTTCAATTTTTTTTCAGTCTCTTTTCCTCAATTTTTCGCAGCTTTTTATCACAAATTCCTTACAATTTAGGTTATCTTACACTACAATGAACATTATCCATACTAATACGTAATTAGCTTTCGTTCGTTTCGTATCGTGACACTGTTCTCTGTATCAAACACAATATTACCTATTATCAGTATTTTTACATTAGGTCTACCGGAAAGTTCTGTCCATTTCTAGTTAAATAATTGAGATAAAAATTTGAAATTTTTAGGGCATGTTCCTATTATTACACGTAACAATAACTCTGCCTTTCGAACCATTTCATCAATTTATAGTCTACCGGTGTTATAAGAAGAAGTAAACGATTGAAAAAATTCCATGTATTTTCCATTCAAACCTTTCGATGTTTCGGGGCACGTGTTGTTGTTAAACTTAAGCGCCCGAATTTTGCAGGAATTTTTGTTTATGTATTTGCAAGGTAGTTGGCGGGTGTGTAACTTAAATTTAAACTAAGACTAATAAAAAATCGTTCAAATAAGAAGCACCCTACTGTATACCGAAGAAATCCAAACCGAAGGTCGAAACGTGTATCGAAAATAAAGTTTATTTGTTTCGACTGTATTTACTATATATAGACTTTTTATAGCTCGATGCAGGGACGAGATTCTCATTTTTCGTGTAAAAAGAATCGTTCGTCCACTTAATCCAGACCTAGCCTCAGACCAGGCAAACTGCAGTTCGTGTACCTTCCTTTCTCCTTTCTTGAATTTTTCACAGTTTTCTATAAATAGACTGTTTATAGCTTGACGCAGAATCGACGTTCTTCTTTTCGCATAAGAAAAGAAATGTTTGTCCGTTTCGGACATCCTTGTCCTTTCGCGGTTTCTCCCTTCTTTCGAAACTCACGGCCGGGCTAAAACGAGCTGGTCCCACCGATCGCTGCAGTTTCACCAGGGGAAAACAAATTTAAAATGCGATCTCGAACGATTCCTGCCGCCATTTACTTTCGCTGGAACCTGTTGTTCTTTCCTTTTCTTTTGCTTCTTGCATCGCCTTTTTTTTTTTTTTTTCTTCTTATTCCTTTCCACCTTCGCGTCTTTCACTGGGCTTCCAAGAGCACATAAAAACATTTTCAATGATAATTTTTTACGAGTACTTGTAATTCACAGTGTACGATCTACAGTCAGTCTCGTACGTGTTTCGTGTAATTCTGCGCTTTTCTGTTATATTAGAGCTTGAACGAAGAACATAAAATTCCGACGCAATCGTAAGTCGATAGCAGCGCCTATGTAATTAATGTCTGAATGCATTAATCATTTTTAAATATTGCCTCTCAGAATTTCAACGTCTAACCGAGTATCAACGATAATATAAGAACGCTACAAATTTATTATCGCGGTACAATAATGCTCTTTAAGATTAATATTTCGGACAAAGTTAAAACTGAATTCCTTTTTTTTTTTTTTTTTTATTTTTTTCTTTAATTGAATACACACAAACCGAAACAATTTTTGTCTGTGTATCGATTTTCATACATACAGAGCTGCTGTCTCATTATATTATTGTATATGTTTTAATTATAAAAGGTAATTAAGACCATATTAATATGTTGCTTTAATATTAGTTGGAAAATGTTATTGGTCTTGTATAAACCACAACAATTTCCTCAAAATTGACTTTAACAAATAGAGTATTGTAGTGTCCGCGCCTCCCATACCCAACAATAAGGAGTCAAATAAGAACGCGAAACGTAGGCTACGGGATTGGTCGCGTAGGTAAAGCGGTCGACTGCGAATCCGAGGATCGTCGTGGGTTCGAATCCCCGTGCCTTATTTTTCGTTCAGACTCCTACAGTATTACCGAGGCTCGTTTTTAGGCGCCTTATAAAGACGTATACTACTGACAGCGTTGATTTCGCACGTGAAAGAGTAACAACATAACACTTCGTTAAGCATTCCGTTTACCAAGTGAGGATATCCTGTCGAAATCGAAAGCTTCGCGTGCACGTTCTTCCTGTCAGATGATAATAATAACAACAGTAATTATACGTAACGAAGACTCGAACCGAATATTAATTGCACGTCTAAGTAAGGCGACTACATACTAAACGATTCGTATACATGAAATACATGTGTAATAAGTTTGCACTTTCAACAGAAGACATATTAATTGAAATAGAAACAAGTATTTCGTTTTGCGTAATAAATACCTTTACAAGATGTGATCGATAGACTGCGGATTTTATGCATCTACGATGTATCGCATTCAAAAAAGAAACAATAGATATAAACATATAAAAGATAGTGCACGCTGAATATATTTTACAATTAACGTATCAATATCATTCTTTTTTATTTTGTCTAAGTACGCATAACTTTTGGTTATGTTTATCGCGTATTTAGTATATTTATATCATGAGTGCATAAAATCCGCAATCTAGTGATCGATTTCTCGTATTTCGTCAATTCTATGGTATAATAACGTACGATGATATAAAATTAACGAAAAAAGGTTGTTTAACGTGATTTAATATAAAGAAAATAGAAATTCAATATATTATTCAATATAGTTTAATTTAAAGGAAACACAAATTATTTCATACTTTTCAGTGCAGTTTTAATATTTATTCGAAGTCGGTTACATTTTATTTCCAACAATTATTTTGTTACACTTTTTTTAATGGCAATCTATAATCGATAGGTTTCATGCGATAACAATAGTTATGAGTAATATACAGGGTGTCTCAAAAATGTTGGAACTCCTTGAAAGAGGTGATTCGAGGGATGATTCGAAACAACATTTTCCTTAAGGAAAAAGTATTCAACATTTTTTAGACAAAAGGTTAATCGTAATCTTCTTAAAGATACGTTGTCAGATTAAAATAGAGTCACCAGTGACCAACGTGGCAATCTCTGTCTTAAAAAAAAAGCGCAAATCTATTCTGAATATAGAACCTCGTGCGAATGCACAGGCAACTCGGAGCGAAGCTATGTTAATTATTGACACATTATTGAAACACACAATTTCCAATCGATGAACACTATTCGTTTCAGAATTACGACACGCTGAGCAAAGGAAAGAAATCGTGGAGCGTGCGTCTGGGTCTGTCGCGGCAGAATCAAAGCGGCGATGATCCTGGAAAAGGGTGGGGAACGATCAGCGGGAGCAGCGGGCTCTCTCGACAAATGATCTACGGCGATCCGTGGCTCTATGGCACGGTTCGATCTTCGAGGGTTGGTCTCGAGCCACGAGGCTTCATGACACCACCGCCCCCGCCGCCCCCGGGAGCGCCGATACTGGTAGTATGTTCCTGTCCAGAATTTCTCAGCGGAACCACCCGGAAGTTCGGCAATTGCCGCAAGTGCGGTGGTCACCGATTGGCTGGCGTCCCTTTGGGTGGAACATGTCGGCTTCCGACGATTTCCTCGAGGTCGAGACCCAGTCTCGCGGGTGAGTCATCTTTTTTCCAATATTTTTACATTTTATACAAGCAGGATGGCTACGAATTGGAAAAATTCGGTATATCGAGAATTATTCGGGAATTTAATAGCGAGAACTGAACATTTCGAAATTATCTAGGAATTTAACAGCTAGAACTGAAAATTTCGAAATTTTTTAATACCATCTTGAATTTATTTTAATCGTGAAACATTGTTTATTTTGGCTTGCGTATATTCTCAACCTAGAATCATCAATAGCAGAACATAAATAATTTATTTTCTTGATTAATTGAAGATATAAAAGTAATGCATCGGTTTTTATTTACTTAAATGTACAATAAAACACGATACAAGTTTAAAAATAAATCAACGTGTAATTTCTCTATAAACAATTTCTGAATATACCTCTCTTTTTGGTGCCGTTCTTGTAGGAGTGAGAGGATTTACCTTTCACTGCACTTATTAAGAATTAAAATGTTTAGAAATGTTTAAAGAAAAGATATTTAAAGATATTAAAAATTTTTAAAGAAAAGATATTTGCTCAAATACTGAATCGACTTATTGGAAAATCGATAGGAGTCCTGAGGACCTCGATAGACGATCCGTACGACCAGATGAGACGGAATCGGCTGGTCGAGCCGCGAACGAGAGCACGGAGCATTTCGCCGCATCGGCCGTTATCTCAGCGCGATTCTCGAAGCCAAAGCGTGGCGCGAAACGCGAAAGAACGAAAAGGCTCCGTCGAAAGTACTTGTTCGAGATCCGAATGGTTCGACAAGGAGGCAACCGGAAGCTACGAGGAGACGACGCGCAAACCACGACCGAACTTCGCTGTCGCGTCCACCGAAGAGTGGCTCGAGGAGGCACCGTCGTTGGCGAACACCATCCGGACTCCGTCGTCTTTAACTACGCCCGGTAGGCTGGTACGGGTCCCGAAGAAAGTTAGAGGCACGGGTACGTTGACGAAAACACCGGAAACGGGTCAGGCGAAGATCGGGAACCAAGACGAGTGGAAAGATCGGCCATCGAGTGCGTTAGACTCGCGAAAGAGCATTCTGGAGTGCGACGTGAATCCGTATCTTTTGCTAAAGAAGCAGAAGGACGAGGACGATCTCAGCGACGACCTGTCGGACAACGCCCTCGAGCAGGACGAAGCCAGACCGCGGTCCAGTTTGTTCGATCCCTCGAAAGTGAAATCGATCGAGAGGATACCGAACAGAAGCGCCGTAGCGGCGATCGGCGGTCAGAGAATCAGGGTGTTCAGCGAACCGCGCGAGATCTCGGATAACGAGGACGTTCCGCCGGTCACGAGAATTCCCATACCAAAGGTTTCACCGAAGCGACCACCGAGGAGACTAAAAGAAGCCAAACAAACGCTGAAAAGCATCCTGAAACGGGGAAAGGTGCTCGAGACCAAACGGAAGAACGTCCTCTTCAACGTCGATAACGTTATATTCGCACCTGAGAAACCATCGGAGGCCACGCGGCTACTGTGGACCAGAATCGGAAGGATCGCGAATTGCGTCGCAGGAAGAGAGGAAAGAAACAACGAAGAGTCAGAGGAAGAGGAGGAAGTGGAAGAAGAAGCGGAAGAAGAAGAAGAAGAAGAAGAAGAAGATGATGATGATGATGAAGAGGAAGAAGAAGAAGGAGAAGAAGAAGAGGTGACAGTGATGACGCATGAGCAAAAGGAGAAATATAATTTCATTACTATTCCGAATATCAGGGATCCAAAGATTGACAGAATTCGACTGAAGGAGCCTAAAATCTCTCAGGATGTGTGCCAAAACCACGTTAATGCTGACGGAACGAAAGAGGTTCGAATGGACAGGATGTTGCAAGAGAGCGAGGATATACCTGAAAAGATCTCGAATCAAATTATTCGTTCGCCGAAACGCGAAAATACGAAGAAGGGGGACGAAGGAAAGAAAAGGATACAAGAGGAAAATTCCGTAAAAATGAAAGACGACACCAAACAACAGTACGCGGTCAAGGATCGCAAGGATCGTATTCCAAGCATTGCTGTCGACGAGAAGGACCTGATTTTGAAATCTGAAGGTAAGAAGTCGAATTACTTTCTAAATTACTGCCCGTTTCGCGATACAAATTACTTGGAGCTATTATCGTTCACGCGAACGATAGAAAAATTCACTTTTAAATGTTCATTTCACTTAAGAATTAGTTATGGAATGTCGATGTTTTTATACGTAACAGTAGACTTGAAGTCATGATTTACAACTCCAGCTTTAGCTAAATCTTATTCCAGATCGAAACTAGCTCTCCTAAGGTTTATTTTACTATTTCTTATTAAAACAACCTCATTACGATGGGTAGACTTTTTTCCTGTGCATTTTCCTCTTCGTTCGCTTCAACTGATCCAGTTTCTCTTTTTTATTTCAAAACTTTAGTTACTGCCTCCGGACTCACGCGACATTCCATGGCACTATTTCTCAGTGCTATCGAAGTGTATTCACCTAAGGTCACTCGTTCGTCGCGTTTTTTGAGCGATATCTCTAATTAAGATCAATTAATAGAAGACACTAGAGTATTGTTAATGGCAGACTCGTGTATAGCCAAATGTTAAAATCTTGAATAATTGCTGGGTTTAAAAGAATATTTTATTTTCGCCTTTTGAAGAAATTCACAATTGCGAACTTTTCGATAAGGACAATAAACCCAAAACAAAATTAAACGATATAAGTTTTGGGATATTCTTAATTGCAATCTCGAAGCATTTATCGTTCATAATTCGTTAAACAAGAAAACCTTCGTGCTTCGAAAGAATTAATTTAAATAGAAAGTTAATAACAACAAAATAGAAACATATATCTCATTACTATGCTACACGTAATTATTGGTAATCGTTACATGTTTACAAATGTATAACTAGATAATTGTCTATCGTTCACTTCGTGTTTATGAACAATGATAATCTCGTGAAACGCTTTTCTTAGTATCTCATAAATCATCAAATCGTTGACGGAGTAACCCTTTCTCTAGGTATTATAGCGTGTAATAATGCTTCTTAGAAATCTCACGAGTTTTCTCTTCTTTTCAGCAAAAATTCTCAGCCGGGCTGTGGTTATTTGTAATTTATACCATGCTAGAACTTCTTTATTAATTCATTTGCGTATATTTATTTATCCCTATGAGCCCAAAATATATGAGAGAACTCTGTTGAGGTCGAATTTATTTTTCTTGGATAATGCGCAATATTCCTTTACTGTTTAGTGTACTATTCGCTCAAGTATTTCTAAATCTGTATACAAAAATTGTGTTGAACTTCCTGGCAATTAATGTATTCATGTTATTTAAAACACATTTTTACGTTCTAAGAGCTACGATAGAACATTTTAATACAAGTCTGCCAACAATGTTAAAAAACACAAATACTTTTGCTCGATTCGCAGAGAACTCAAAGAAATCATCTTTATCACGCAGTCAAAGCGAACGATCGTTCAATAGACCGGGAGTGTCAGCTGGCAATATATTGTTCATGGATACCATGCGCCTCAGCCTCTACAGAAAAGTCAAGGAATCGCAGTCCTCGTTATGTTCGAGCGAACAGACGATTCGGCCAGACGATTCGTCCGAATTCATGGAGGAGACAGCGGAAAGCGTGTACTCGGAGAAAGATAGCGACTCGATTAAAACGGAGTACGAGCAACATTCGTTCGACTCGAAAGAAATCGAAGAAATTATCGAACAACGAAAAATGGAAATCTCGAAAGATACCCAGAGCAATTACGAGGAAAACAACGAGCATTTTCGAGGCATGAGACCGACCAGTTGGTCTCCGCCACCCGGAAAACCGAAACACCGTTACAAGATTAGCGAACCAAACGTAAAACCAAAGGACACGGATTATTCCGAATTGGATCGAAACAGCCCAACGGTGAAGACCACGTGGAACGCGTCCAACTCCTACGGATCCTCGAAAGTTGAAATCGGATCACCGACGACGGAAGCGAACGTGTACAAAATAACCGTGAGCCCTCGAGCTTCTCCCCTCGTTCACAGGCTTCAAATAGGTCCAGATGCCAAAGGCGCGAGGCGAACGTCAATTTTAATCAACGGAGACACGACGCCGAGCGCCGAAACAACGTCGGACAACAAAGTGACCATCAGCGTTGGTGGCGAGGACAGCGTTTACAATCCTACGGTGATCTCGGTGAACTCGGAGAATCCTCCGCGAATAAAAAGTTCCGCGGAGAATCGCACTCTAGTGATTCTGGACAACTACAAATCGAACATCGTCGTCGAGGCCGTCAAAGAAGATTCTCAGACGAAGTCGCTTAACGCCGAATGGGAGCCTATCGAAACCGAGGATCGTTCTCGAAAGACCAACGAATTCGCTTCTGACGAAAAAACGTCGAACACGCCGGAGGTGACTACGGATTCTGAGAAACAGAATCCGAATTTCGATGGTAAAACTACGGGAAAGAACTCGAAACTCCGCGTAATAGGCGATCGCGTGGCACGAGCGGAGAAAAAGACTCAGCAGAAAGATGCTGAAAATTCGTCGAAGCTTGCTGGATTGTCCAAGGAAGCGTTGATCTCGAAGTTGCTCGAGGATTCCTTGAGAAAGGCTCGCGAGAATGGAGAAATCCTCGACGAAAGCAGCGGCGAGGCAATTTTGAAGATCCTGAAGCAGAGTTTGTTGAAGAGCAAAGAGTACGAAAGTTCCGAGTCGACCCTCGAGGCAAATTACTCGAGATCGTCCAGTTTGAATTCGGACGGTGATTTTATCTCGACGAACCTTTTCCTCGAGGAGAATCCTTACGAGGTGATCAAGGAACCCATTTACGAAGAGATTCCCGACGAACCACCTCCGCTACCGTTGAGTCCACCACCGACCGAGGATTACATTAAGGACAGGATATACTTCGGCGGCATAGATTACTACAGAAAGGGCAGCGCCGATCAGTTCCTTGGGAATTATTTGACGAACGATGTTTTCAAGAAACCGAATACCGAGGATCTGGCGGAAACGTATCTGTCCAAGAGTCCCGAGGATTTTTTCAAGAAGATGTCCACGTCGCCGGAGGAAGAGAATATCACGAGCAAATTCGAATTGCTTAACTTCTTGATGGACTCGAAGGATCGAACGATCTCCATCGAAGGAGAGGACGACGAGGACGACGAAGACGAAGAGGACACGGAGGGGGACTTGGAAGCTCTGTACGAGCAGAAGGAGACCAGCCTCGGTGATCTGAGCTCGAAGAGCTCTCAGATCTCTAATGTCTCCGACAGCAGCGAGGAGTGCAATATTATCCTGACCAGTTCACCGGAAACATCGAAGGTAAGTTTTAATTCAAATGTTTGCTAACAAATCCTTGATATTTGACGGGAAGAGTTTCAGCAAAAATCCTGTGATTCCAACTACGTTTATCCCATAACTGTGTCGATTCTGTAAATATAATAAGAACAGAAACCTGTTCAAACACAAATTAACCGAAAGACCGCATATAATGGTGATTTTTCTAGGCAAGGGCCGTAGATATAGAAAGAACCGATAGCGGAGTGGGATCAGAAAGCAGTCAGGCTAGCAGCACTCGAGGCGTGCCGAGACGTTGGAGAGCAGGAAATGTCTCCTCGGGACCAGGAAGTCTCTTCGGTGGAATCCCACAAGTGATTTCCGGTGATTCAAAGCTCTGCGAGGACTGCGAACAACGTCTGGATCCTTTGATAACTGACAGGTGAGTGATAACATTAATACGTTATACCTACGATCAATAGAAATCCAGATCATAAGGAAGCACATATTACGGAATAAATGGCAATACTACGATCTAGATGGCCACTTTACGAATGAAATAAAAGGTCTGCTAAATACGAACCGCTGGTGTTATATACAAATATTTGTTCATATTTTTGTCATAAAAAATGCCAAATAATTAGGTATCTTCAGTATTTTGCAAGATAAGAATCGTTACTTACAAAACACAAAGTAATATATTGGGTATGGAAAATAATTATGCGCCATTCTAAAGTAAACTTGCTATTTATTTATAAATAAAAATCATACAAATTTTAAGCTTTTCTCGGTAACACATTCTAAGACAGCACACATAGAATCAAGTTTTAAAGCAATCTGTACGTTTCGTTACTATAAAGGTTGGTACTCTAACGTAGCGATAAACTAGAGTTCCAAATAAAACAAGAATAATAGAAAAATAATTTCTACATACAATAATCGTCGAAATAGTTGTAATGTATTAGAAGAACAAGAATAAGCAAAATTGATAGCCGACTGAACTTCGTATACATAGATCGGTTATAACGCCCATCAGATTGAGACTCGGGTTATTTAGTCGAGAACTTAGAAAATTGGTATATTAACGTAACAAAACGAGTACTAAATATTTCTACTTAAAGATTCTAGATTATAAGATTACTAGATAAGGAAAAGGGGATATAACGTAAGGGAAAGGAACAAAAGTAAAAACCCATAAAGGTATACATGGCGATAAAATAAAAACTAACAAACTATTTCTACTTAAATTAGAGTTACCAAAATAATATAAATAATACATAATGTTTGAATACAAAGGCACATTATTCGTTTCTGCATGTAATACATAACAAACGTTGTTTCTCCGCTTTCATTTTTATGACTTTGTATGTAGTAAAAATAGATTTGGTTAGTAAGCAATAGATTGAATAGGCAAATAATTTATATTCGACTACCTACAGGAAGTAAACATGTAAATTTCTATTTATGTTAATGTTTGCAGTTGAGAAATGTATGTTACGCGTAAACTTTTATCGAATGTATACAGCCACAGTAATATCACCGAAGACAAACCGCGTAACAAGTTCACAGAATCGTTGAATTGCACTTTCTCTTACTATTGATTCTGTTTACCGCAAGAAGCGAAAGTTTTGCTACCGAATATACATCAACGTCGAACGAATCGACCTGCCAAAAAGGCTGCAACTCTTTTGAATGCATTCTGCATAACAACGTAATACATAAATTTGAAAGCAGTATACCGTTAAATATCACAATAAGAACTATTTTAATACGCAGACAGGAGAACTGCTATTACTTAATTATATAGGTATGAAAAACGAACGTAAAACAAATTATTTTTTTACAAGAGACCTTGTATATTTTTATCCATAATATAATAGCATTTGGTTAGACAAATTCGTCGATTTATAATTAAAGATCATTTATTGTAATATAAAGCTCTTATCTGGAATTTGGAGTCTCTTTTAAGAAAAATTAATTTGTTTTTCAAATCTCCCCCAGTACTTTACTTACAACAAAATGATTTGCGCCATATAATTTGTCCAAACGATCGAAATAACTTTCGTAAAAATAATTTTTTGATAGTTTCACCTCCTTATGAGATATTCAACCATTCCGCTTTATACGAAACACCTTGTACAAGAAAATTAAGAAAATTTTCTGTACAATTAATCATCGTTATTTGTTTAGCGGCGTGGTGTACGCGCCTTTCGTGTGCAGAAAATGTTCGAAAAAGAGAGTGGAACGCAAAGAAATAATCACGGAGATTGTGGAGACCGAACAGAAATACGGAAGAGATTTGCAAATCATTCTGGAAGAATTTCATAGACCCATGTTCAGAGCTGGTCTTCTTACTTCGGAACAGCTCACAGCAATATTTCTTAACGTGGAAGAGCTCGTCGAACACAATGTCGTACTCGCTGAGAAATTAAAGGATGCTGTGGAATTTGCTCAGGTAAAAAATCTATCTATAATCCGGCCTACATAAATATGTTAATATTTTTCTTAATAAGAACATTATGCCACATATTCTGCCTAAATTCCTACAAGACAACCCTAACTTATACAGGGTGTCCCAAAACTCGGGGAGGAGCCGGAAATGGGGGGTAGCTGAGACGATTCTGAACAACAATTTCCTTTGCAAAAATGTCAGATGGGGCTTCGTTAAGGAGATATTAAGCGAAAACCCCGACCAATCAGAGCGCGCGTAGACCGTTCGAGCGGCCGCGGTAGCGAAGGCTACGCGCTAGGCGGCAGCGTCAATGTCCTTCGATGCACGTCGAGTCACTTGTTCGCGTACAAGCGCGGCCGCCAGCGCGTAGCCTTCGCTACCGCGGCCGCTCGAACGGTCTACGCGCGC